CTTACTTTGCAGTACTAAGGAGCACCATGTGTTTACCATAGTGTGAGAGTGAATAGCTAAAAAACTAGAGGACAACGATTTTGCGTATCTTCCACAGCATATAGTTCTTGTTGCATGGAAACGCAATGTAATGTCATTGATGTCAATGAGAACACCGGCAATAATGATGATTTCCTTCATTGTACTTGTGGTTTTTTCGACTGGATTTTTATATGCTAAGAACATAGAGCTTTACGCCAATGGGGAAAACGATTTCTCTTCTCTCATCATTTTTAAAATCTTTCTTATAACCAGGTCAGAAATCTTGAAAGAGTTGGAGAAAAACTCTCTCTCTCCTCCTTGACCATGAAGAACTAAAATCTAAAAAATTGAAAGAACTCAGATCAGCTTACATATCTCAAAAATAGAAAAATCAAACTCTACGAAAAAAATGAACACTATCTGAAAAATCAATCTCGGGTCTGAAAAATTGAACTCTCACACTTTGGTGCAATGTTGATGGTTGAAAGTGGTGGATGGTTGAGGTGGGTGGTTTGGTTTTAAGGTGGGTTGGCTGTGCCTTGGAGGAGATGGTTTGGGTTTTGAGTTTTCTAGTGGTTTGGCAGTGATGACTTAAGGTGGTGGGAATGGCGATGAGACAAGAGAGGCCAGAGACATTGAGAGAAGAGATGGTGGTTGCTGGTTGTGGAGGACGGACTCTAGTGGGAAGTGGTGGTGGTGGTATTAAGACATAATTTTAGCAACGCAAAATTGGTATAATCATTGGAATTAATTAGATTTGGCTTAATTGGTGTAAGTAATTAAGTTTGAGCTTAATTAAACAAATTATTTTACGAATTGATATAGCTAAATCAACTTCATGACACAATTGGATTAGGTGTTAAGTGCAGTTTTACTATATGGTTTTTTTGGAAATATGGAAATTTTTATGTCTGGTGTCTTCATTTTTTAGGATTTGATTTGTAATTTTAGTTTATGTGAGTTTTCTTTTTCTTTTCTTTTTTTCAATTCAAAACAGAGGACGTTATTTTTATTTTTTTACTTCTGTTTAGGACATACAATATTTAACGGCATTTTGGGGTCTTAGTGTCATTTTTGAGTCTACGTAATAAAATCAAATGTCTAGTGAAATTTGCGTTTTTCATTTTTTTATTGGATGCAAGATAGAGGCTTTGTACCCATTAAAAACAAAAAAAAAATGTTTTTCAATTGTATCCTTGAGTTTAGAGTAGCCTTCCAAAACTGGACTACACGGATTCATTTTTCATCTTGGGAGCCTTCCAAAAAAAAAATTAAACGTAGTCATTCTGACTTAGGAGCCTTTCAATAGTAAAATTGTTCTACATGTTCTAATGTGAAAATTTCACATGACCAAATATTTTATAAGATAATAAAAAAAAATTATGATTATTAAACATTTTATAGAGAGTTACGGCATGATTTAATTCAAAAATTTTAGTAATTTTGGAATCAAACGGGATCAAACAATAAAATAAGTCAGAATCAGATAAAATAAATAAAATCTTAAAAAGAGAGCTAGAAATAAAGAAAAAAGTAAGACAATAAGAGTGGAGGGGTGAAAAAGACTTAGAAAGAGGCGTTGAGAATGGATGTAAAGAGAGTGAAAGGAATTTTAGAGAGTGCTATTTTTAAAGTAGAAATCGTTACTTTTAAGGTTTTTTTAAAAGTCTTTGTTATATTTTAAAATTTTTTATAAGACTTAACATAGACTTGTGAAAATATTGTTACATTTTATGACTTTCTATAAGGCTTTACATAAATTTGAAATATATTAAGTCTTTAATTTTGTCCATTTAAAATGACCTCAAAACATGAAATTAAACTAAGGGTTGAAAATTTAATTGGAATACTAAATTTTTTAGGGTTTTATGTGACTAATTTAATGGTCGGGCCTTGTTGTGCCTCCTCTCAGTCAAAGAATCGAAATATCAGCACGTCTCACAACGATAATAATCTCTGTAAGTCTCTCACTATCGAGTCTTCGTCTCTATGTGGTGCTGCATAACTTTTCTTTGTTAGTAATTTAGACATCTAACATATATTAAATATTTTATATATATGTTATTTCATACCCATGTCATCGGCGCTTAAATGTTCAATAGTACAATCTATAGGAATTATAAATATACATAGATTATTATGGCTAAGTACACCATTTTTAACAAAAAGATCTGCACATTTGTTTGTCTTCCTCATCTCTTTGTTGACTCGCATTTTTCGAAATCTCTCAAATAATCCATCAGTTGTGGTTTGATACACTTTGAGCGGTGGCTATTCTAAATAAAGTTTTTTTTAATATTAATTTAAATTTTTTCTTATTTTTTAAGATAGTTATTATTAGTCAAGTTTTATACACATTCTTTTTTTGCAATTGATCACGTGACTAATCCACATAAGCTTTCTAATTTTATAAGATTTATTCTTGTTTATGTACCTAAATTTAACCTAATTTTTTTTATGTTGTGTTTGTTATCAGCGACAAATATAATTAAAAATATTTTATTTAAAATTTAAATAGTTTTTAAAATGTTCTCTTCTTCAAAATTTTTCTATACAAATATTTGTTATTCTAGTTTTTATATTTACAAAAAAAACCAAATGCTTCAATAAGAAAATATTATTATCTTGGAATTAAAAAAAATTAAAATTATAAAATAATAAAACTTAATTTATTATCGTGAACCACGAAATTAAGATATGATACAAAAATTCTCCTCTAATATCGCCTATTAGAAAAAAAAATGAGAATCAATAGGTTAATGTTTTTGTCTTTAGGTATTTAGAAATGTAGGGTTAATTGTACCGAATGTTCTCAAAGTATGATATTTATCCCATTTTAGTCCCCAATATTTTAACTATATCATTTTAGTTCTTGAAAAATTGAATATATTTCTATGTGGTCTCTCAAGTAAACATCGTTCTAATTACTAACGATTTTTTATTATAAACTTACTTAAATATAGGAAAAAATAATTTGGATAACTCTTGACCAAATTTTTAAAACAATTTTGGTCAAAGAATTACCCAAAGTATATAGTTTTGATCATGAAATATCCAAATTTTGGTCAAGAGCTACCCATATTACACATTTTTTGTCAAGAGTTGCCCAAATTATTTTTTGCTCATATTTAGGTATCACATGACAAGTTTTTGTTCAAAAATTGTTAGCAACTTAGATGTTATCATGTTTGAGAGATCACATAAAAACATATTTAATACTTTAGGGACTAAAATGATATAATTAAAATATAAAATAACCAAAATGAAATAAATTCGATATTTTAGAGACCTACAGTGCAGTTAATCAAAAAAGTATTGCATTCGTAATAAATAAATAAAAAGAGAGAGTGTGAGACCGAAAAGAAAAAGGAATGAAAATAAATAATTTGATTTATATTTTTATTTTATATAAGAACAAGAGTATATCTAGAGGCAGAACATATGTGTGCGAGAGAATAACTAATGATGTCTAATGTAAATTATTTTTTTTACCAAATTTAATTTTTTGTGTCATAGGCCTAAACTTTTGGGCCCAAATCCTAAGATTTTTTTTTGGTTGAAATTTTAATTCAACTTTTTTTTTAACTCAATTTTTATGGCTTAAAATTTTGGGAATGGTAGTTTGGATGGGCTGACCTTGTTCATATTTAAAAAAAAAAACGAAACCTTGTTCACAAGACAAGACAAGATATATAGAGATAGAATTAACTAATTAGAGAAATCTCTAAACTAGGAAGTATAGTGGGACTCTTCTACGCGTATTCCAATCTTTATACAAGTGTGGGTCTCTAACTTCTTTCATTGAAACAACCCTTCTCTTCTTAACATTCCTCGCCAATCTCTCAAGAATCAACTATCTCTCTCCTCTCCATTAACAATATTCCTTACCAGTCTCTCCAGTTCATCTCTCTCTTCAAGAATTGAGATGTCGTTTCAATATTCACTGCAACTGGCCAGGGATGCTCTCACACTAGGCTCACGGCGTTTGCCACCACATGAGTCGCTTTGCCTCCAAATCCGCATACGTGGACGTGTATATATCCACGATTCTGTGCAAGAACTTCCCGAATACGCGCAGGCTTTTACTCTGTTGCATGAGATGCTACTGCACGAAGACTCGGCTCGGATCTTCTTATCTGAGTGTCTTTCAGTAATGGGAATCCCCATCGATGATCACGATCAGATCATACATGCAATCGTTTCTTTCTATCTGGACATGGGTGTAGATCCAGCTTCTAGTACCTGTAGTGGTGGTGCAATTCCCATAGTTCTTGCAGATATTCTGATCGAGACACATGATGAAACTCAAGCGGTGAATAGAGCTATTGAAGAATCCATGGGTTTAGATATGTTCAAGGCTGTGCCTGCCATTAAATCGTCCATCGAGGGTCTGAAGAAGGTGAGACTTGAGGGTTCGGGTTGTATGGAAGAATGTATGATATGTTTGGAAAAGTTTTGTGTAGGCCAAGAAGTTACGTGCATGCCGTGTTCGCATGTCTATCATGGCGATTGCATTGCTCAGTGGCTGGAGAGGAGCCATTTGTGTCCACTGTGCCGCTTCCAGATGCCGATGGATTTGGATTCCTATAGTTGAGAAACAATTGCCTTCACTATCAAAAAAGTTATTTTTTATGAGGCAGATGCGTTATGTGCTAATTATGTTGGACAGATATTCGTGGTTATAGTTGATTAGATGGTTTGTTAGAATGTCATCCACGATTTGTTCAGAACAATCTGTCCACAAATATTATGTATTTAACAGGATTCTTTTGCAATCTACCTATCTCATCTGTAATGCATATTAATAGTTCAGAAGCTCGAGCATGCCCTTGGTATGTAATGAAATTCAGTATTATTATTTTTTTCAATTGTCAAAAGTGTTTAAATCAACTTTCGACTAATCATTTTTTCGGTCTAAAACCCTCGTGACCTAATACTCAAAGATTATCAAAATTCGAACTCAAAACGTCTTCACCTCGTCTTCTTTACCACTTGAACCACACCCATGAAATGCAGTATTGAACATCTGGTTGATTAAGTCCCAGTTGGGTTTGGCAAAGCAGTGTTTTTATGTGCTAGGTTAAGGTTTACCCTGTTTAATTTGGCTAAACAGTGAGCTTTGGTGTGATAGGCTAAGGCGTAACCTATTTTGTTGAAAAATTACAAAATAAAAGGAAAGAAGAAGACACAACGTTTTGGACAGAGGATATGCATTAAAACGTAATTGCTTTAGACTTTAGTCATTTGATGTTTAGCTTTCCTATGCAGTGCTAAGGATCACCATGACTCTGCTATTGTGTGAGCGTTAATAGGAAGAAAAAAAACTAAGAGGAAAGTGATTCTTCAGATTTCCATACGATCAAATGAATGAAAAAATCTCTCGACAGGACGATACATCAAGAGTTTAAAACCACAAAAGAAACTAATACCAACAATAAATAGCAAATTTCATACCAAATTGAAACAATCAGTACCACAGCTTAGGCCTGAGACGCAACATATGAAGGCTTTGGCTTTGTTTCGTATCAAATATTACCAAGCAGAGGTCTCTTGTGATGGCAACTCCACCACTTAAACAGAAGCTGTGGTATTTCGTAAAGCATTGCGTCAGTTGTTTGCATAGTGCAACGAATTCATTTGTAGCAAACAATTTTAATTCTTAACAAATCTACTATGCACTCCATAACTCCTACTCCTACTTCCGATACTTGTGATTGTGGCCAGAGTAAGCTGTCCAAGTTAAATAGGCATACAATTTTGTAATCTATTTTGTATGATTTTCCATCAAAATTCTGTCATAAAAGAAGTAATCAACATCACAAACCATTCCAAACTTGATGTATGGTTCAACCAGATAATCATATATGCAGATAGGTTTGAGAACAAAGCAGTTCCACGCATTCACTTTTCAGGTAGCCATGTCCCGTGTTAAAACTCCCAACTGAGAAAACAATGGTACAACCCCATCACTATAAGTAAAACCATCTGCATGAAGTTGACCTGGAATGGGGTGGAAACGACACAAGTATTCGAGCATACAAGCAAAAGAGAGAGAATTTAATAGGAAATCTAATATTTTCACCAACATCATCAATCTTGCAGGGTTTCCACAAAAAGAAACTTTTAACAAGAAAAAATGTAGGAATCTCACAAGTTTCTGGCAAGCTTGAACAATCAGCAACTTACACAAGGATGTAGCCCATTAAATGTTCCTACCATGCCTATACGCTAGATCTGCCAAAATTGTAGCCTTAAACTTCCAAAGGACCATCTCCTTGACAGCTTAAGTGCCGTGCTCTTCCAAAGCTGAAAGCTGAATGATGGTTACCCTGCAAAATATTATGAATTGGCATATAATTTCTTCTTAGTAACTCTATGTTTACAAGTTCACATACATGGGAACTAATAGTGAAGTTTGAAGTTGGCAAAATGGATATTATAACTACAGCTTTCTTGTATTATTGAAAAATAAAAACAGAAATAGAGAGTAAAAGTAAAGATTTTTCCTAATCATAATAAAATTGCAGTAGCTAAACATTCCTACAAAATAACAGGCTATATTTGCCTAAATTGCTGTCCTTTTCTGATCGCTTCACCCTTCCATTCTTGGTTGCTGGTGGGCAGCCTGAACCTCAAACATTCCAACTTAGGTGAATGTGAAATTCTCAGCACCAAAATTCACCTATATCCTCGTGATTCAACATCCACAGATGGCTAAAGTGCTTGAGATTTATAAATCTATAATCATTGCTAAACTGAAGTTTCTAATTTTAATCCACTACTAAGACTTCAGAGCTTTTGGTAAGAATAATATGATAAATTCATAATGAACCCAGTTATCAGTTATCAGTTATACAATCCCATTGTACAAGGATAACAGCAGAGTTTCACATTCTCGTTCTCTCAAAAAACACTTATTATGATGCCCCCAAACCCTTTGGACACTCGAAGCTTTCACTAGCTTCTATGGCAATATTATTCCAAAGCAACCCACTTGTAAGTGACAGTTTTGGAAACCCAAATTTTCAAAACCTCAATTCTAGGAAAAACAAGAGGAAAACCTTAACAAATTCACATACATCCCAAAGCATCACAATAGAATTCTTCCACAAAAAGGTGCATTTAACTCGTTATATATATTCATTAGTATGCAGGGGACAATATTTTGAATGGATCACATCAAGTTGAGTATTATCAAACCATCGATAAAGTAGGAGAATTAAGAATTAAAATGTTTATAGAAGAAGACAGCAAAAGACTTATTCTCCCCTGGAACTAAAAAGACTTGCAAATTCATTGCTTGGACCTGAATCTGACCAATAGCATTCACGATTTCTGTGGAAGCCTCACCAGAGGATAAAGCTGCCACACTCGCATTAATGAATAAATGCAGCAAAGTAGTTGAGTATACTGAGAATCAATGCCCTACCTATCAAAGATTATCAATGCCTCTCTCTTGAGCAAACAAATCAAGACATGGCAAACTATCCTGTGGATCAAATTCTTCTAACTCAATCAACTATACCATGACCTCTTGTTTCTTTTCGGGATAAATCTTAGAAAAACCCCATAACAACCTTCAAGGAGTATCACTTATGCAGTGACCACTGAAATCCCAAATACCCCCAACAATTCGTCTAAAAGATGACAGATTGGACCTTCCGGATACTATGCACTAATACTGAAAATAACTATGTAGTGTAAAGAATTACAAAGAAACTTTTGTAAACAAATGGGAGGGTGAACTCTCAGGAGACAGAGTGCAAGAGAGATGAAGCACCACAATCTGAAATCATGGAAAAATGTTATTTCATAAAAGATGGTACCACTACAGAACACAACTTCTCTAAGATTCAGCACTTTCTAGAACAAATGATACGACTATCAAAGGATCGTTTGATTCAATTAGTTCTCAATAGCAAATTGCCAACCACAAATAGCCCATAAATGCCAAATTTATCATGAAAGATGCAAATAAATTGCTTTTGTCAGACAACTTATAGAAATAATATACATGGAATTGATTGTTCTCTTCACGCATAATGTAACCAAAGTAGATGTCAACTTATTACTGTGTTATTTGTATTTCATTACAGAAGTATTTTACTGTTGAGAACTGCAACTGGTTCCATTCCTATCCTATATCTGACAAAATCCTCACACACTTAGTCGCTATATTCCCATATTAAACCCTTTCAGATGTCCAATAAAAGCAAAAAAGATACTTTGGATGGTTATTCAGACAATAATCTAATGCTAAATTCTACAGGAAAAAAAAAACCAAATGGAAAGGACAAAGGCAATGGAAATGGCAATGGCAATGGCAATGGCAATGGAAATGGCAATGGCAATGGCAATGGCAATGGAAATGGCAAAGGCAATGGCAATGGCAAATATGGGTCTCAAAAAAAGATCAGTTATTCAGAAAGGAAGGAAAGAAAAAACATTGTTATGTCCAACAAAAGCAATAAAACTAGCAAGAACTGCAACAAATTTGCATACAAGAAATTTTGAATACTTGAATGAGCTCAACTCAGTTCAAAGTGCATCTGAGGCACACACTAAAATGTCAATTCTCAGTTTTATAAGGGCAAGAGAAGAACCAAAATGCAAGATTGATGCAGGAGTACTGACAATTTTGAGTTCAAAGTACACACCTTTAACTTTGCTTCTCAAATTCTCAGCCAAATTTGCCACAGTACCGCAAAGTCTTGATTCTGCAGCTAAAGAATTAACAATTCCCTCTATAGATCTCAACTCCTCATGAAACTCGGAATGCAGAACCATCGAAGAGAAATGCTCATCCACAACCAATCCAAAACATTTCACAATGTCTTCAAAAGTAGGTACCCAATTGCAAGCTTTCAATCCCAACATAGAGGACGCCTTAGGGCAAGGACACGCTTGGGGAAACCTCTCATACTTCCTTACCCACTTCCCCAAATACCTAATCAAACCCATCATCTCATCACCATTCAACTTACTGATACAAGAAGCAAATAGCACTTCATCAAGATTTGACGATCCAAATAAATAATGCAAACACAATTCATTAACTGAAAACCCATCATGTGCTACCATAAGCAAAACTGATGCCTCCTTTGCCAAGCTCAATTTCTTCCCACTAAGACTCTTATCATTCACTTTCTCAATAGCCATTAAAGTTTGGCTCTCCCATTCTTTCCTCACACTAACCATGCTCTTATAACCCTCTGTAGGTGGCGAAAGAAAATACTTCAAAATGTGAAGTATATCAATGGTCTGAAGATCCGAAACATACTTCACACACAAACATATCAAATCCGACCTCTTCTTCTCAATCAAACTGAAAATTAAATTTGAAAGGTACGAATGTTCAACAAAACCATTAACAATAACAATTTCTAGCACCTCCCAAATCTCAAAGACAATACAAGCCTCCATAATTAAGCCTAAAACATCGCGACCCATCAAAAACCCTACCTTTTCGATTAATTGAAGAGTGTAGCCCTCGTCAGACGGATCAACCCCAACTGATATACCAATCTTTTCACTATTTTTAACTAAATATGAATTGAATATCTCGATGAACTCGGCTTTAGTGAAGGTGT